TTAAATCATAGGTAAGTATTAGATTATATGTGTGGATCAAAATATCAAATTTTGCAAGAGTGACTTTGTTCATAATTAGGGTTGAATGTTTTTAGTTGGGGTTGATATTTGCTTAAAGTCGCATGCATCCAGTTTTGAGGCAGTTCGTAACTTCTTGCAGAGATCTAGTTTCAACCCTTTTTACACCCCAGACGGCCAGACACTGTGCCCCTCCCCCTTACCCTTGGATTAAAAAAAAGTGAAATAGTGGAGGGATTCCCACTATGCCCTATTATCTTAACACTTCTCTAGAATCTTGATCGAAGCAAATTTCATTTTGACCCTTCCCGCTTTGCTCCTCACTACAGTTGTAAGTGCATATGACCAGACCACTCAAATCGTGCAAGACTGCAAGACGTTCTATGTACGGTATTACGGATAGGTAGTAGTAGATGGTGTGTAATACTAATATAATGTCTGTGTAAGGGTAAAATAGACATTTAAAATAATTTTATTTACTTAATTTTAGTTAGGTGACAATGATTCGTAAATTGATGGCAATACCCGCTTTAGAGTATAGGCACATAGGCTGTTGCCTAGGGCAAGATCACTTGAATAAGGGGCATCATAGTTAAAAAAAAACCAGTAATACGATAGTACTAGTTAGTGTTCGCATGTATACTAAAATATAAAAGTGTGCTACGTCGGATTAAGTATTGAGATCTAAAAGACAAAAAGTAAAAGTGGTCCATCATACCCATCAAGCATATGGGTAACGGCATGGCCATTACCCATATATGATCATACGAGTGTCAGGCCCTTTTTATCAATATTACTCCCTCCGTCCCATAATTATCTTCATTCTTTCCTTTTTGGTCCGTCCCAAATTTATCTCCTCTTTCCTTTTTAGCAAAGGATTTGTGGTTCACAACCATTCTTACACATTTCTCTCTCCTCTGCACAACTCTCCACCACACATTTCCCACTTTCTTAATCTCCGTGCCCAGTCAAAACCGAAGTTAATTCTGGGACGGAGGGAGTACTAAAATGAACAGCAAAGACAAAAATGTGACAAGTTTTAAAATTTTCCAAATGTGTGACTACCTATTTATTACTAATCCTACTATTTAATACTCCGTATATTTATTTTGTACATTTAATCATTGGTCCATGTTCTATAGCCACCAGCACCTCCGAGCCATTGACCCTAGCACCACTGTTGCCACCGGCACTCCCGCCGCCGACGCTGCCGACGCCGGCACCGGCACCGGCACCGATTGTCCGATTGATAGTTGTGAATAGAATTACTCATAATAATACATACGTATTATAAAGCTTAATACGTTAAGAATTACATAAAATATTAATGTTTTTAATAAAAGGTTCTTTCAAAAATATTACCGAAATTAAATTTATTTATAAAAACATGATAAATGATTACTATATAACAATATTACCGACATTAAATGACTATTTTCCTTTAAAAAAATTGTCTGCACAAGACAGTATAGACGATTATCACATCCGACGTGACCCGACCTGGCCTATTTGAAAAATTGTCTGCACGAGACAGAATAGACGATACGATTATCACATCCAGTTTGGTATACAAGCTATTGTGACTAATTAATACTAAAAGTTGCTGACTTTTCTTAGATGATACTCAATGTAGTTTTCAAAAATGATCTTTTATTTTTTAAACAACTTTTAAAAGTAATCGTGCCAAGTATGATACTAGAGACTGTGTTGTAGTGACTCATGCCTAACAAACATACCCGAGACTTTAATTTTAAGGGAAATTCTACGGTGTATATATTAATTTCTAGGGTACGGTGCATTTGCTTATCTGGTCAAATACGATCACTACACGGGGTAAAATATTCGGATAACTGATACTAGCAAATATTTGCTTTGTGGTCCTTGCTCATTCACTCCTTTAAATTACTACCAAGTAATCTATATAATATAATAAAGCAAACCCCTAAAGAACTCTTTAGAGGAATTGTTGACATGTGGCAACATCCTTTGTATAAAAAATGACACGTGGCAAAACAATAAATTAAAGAAAAAATTATTCAACTTCCATAACTCTACTCTTATGTATTCCAATATTATAGATATGTTTTATATTAATATATGTGTATATATTTGTTATAATGTTCAATATAAAATTGGGTAAAATTTTGCACTCTCCGGTATTACAAGATCCAAATACTCAAAAATAAAAATAATTAACAATTTTTAGCCACTCTTAAAATAAAAATATTACTTCTATTTCTTTTCTCATCAACTATTGGAGATTCTCCCTTATTCGGGGGTTTTATAAATTGTTTCTTATTTGTTTTCAAAATATGATAATTATTACATCCCCGTCTCATTAATTTTCTCGGACATATCCTTTTTCTTCCATTCACTAAGTTTGTGTAGCTCCGAATAGTATAATTCATATGTAGTTCTAAATCATTCTTACATTAAGTCCATACTTTTCATTTCAACATTAGCTAGATAAACTCTTTTTTTAATAGCTGCACATGTCTCGATCTTAATGAGACAAATTTGATGTTACATATCTATTTAATAATTCACAAGGTCTATCAGATCAATCTCTAAAGGAAGATTCATTTTTTTGTCTCATATTTATTTATACTTCACAATTTATGTTCAAATTGTTAAATGGGTTAGCACTCCCCAATTTCATAGCTTGGATCATTTAACTGCCTAATGATCTCAAAATGCACATTATTTTTAATGGGGGTGCACAATACACTTATAGCTATAATAAGTCAGACTTTGAAAGGATAGGAAATGTAGATTTTTTACAAAAATATCACAGCGTTTTTAATTTATTATAGCACGAATTTCTATTTCAAATGATGCACAATTTTCAAATCTAACATTTCTGTTCATTCTAATTCACTTTTTACACGTTAAGGTGTCTTCTCATTTGAACTCAACCTTTTATATATACTCCGTAATATATAATTTTCAAATCTAACGTTCTGGTACATATATAGAAATAATGTTAGAGTAATTTATTTGAATAATTATTATATATTGAAATAATAGTTCAACAAGGGTTGTAAATTAATAAGTATATTTGAAATTATTTGGGTAAAATTGTAGAAAAGCATCAATATTGAAGATAATAAAAGTAAAAACTAGATGTTTACATTTTGGTTGACTCGCAACCTACATGGGTCAACTCACTTAACCTACTACCCGTGCAAGTTGCACCATGAATTGAAATCGGTGAGTTCACAAGATTGAAGAAAGACAACTCTAACCCACCGTGAAATGAGATGAAAGGGGCTAGCCCTATGGACTTCAACTAATTTTGACAGCTCTATCCATAGTCGATTGAATTTCTTTTAAACACTAATTGATGAATTCATGTACAATTCATTTTCCCGACAATTTTAATAAAAACTTTACGAACATATTTTCCCGTGCAGTGCACGGGTACACATACTAGTATACTAATATAGCATATTAGCATTCTTAAACAAAGTTTATTTAAGGATTTAATAAGGGCAAGGCTCAAATTCCACTTAGAATTTATATACGGTCAAACAACTTTTGATCCGTTAATGACCTCCTCATACTCCCTATCTCCAGTCTAACCATAGATGTAGCCTTTAATTCATCACCGGAATAATCTGGATTTCTCTATCTATCTCCATGTTATCTCCTATTCATCATTGACTCACCGCCCAACCCTAGCTGTCGGAGATCATGGTAGTTCTAAAAAAATGTTGAAGGTAAAAAAAACAGTGAAACTAATTACGGTTAAAGAAACAAAAAACTGATGAAGATGGGCATCAAATATAATCCAAACCGTATGTAATGAATTGAAGATGCGGTTAACATACTAATTAGACTCGAGAATGCTGGGTTTCATCAGTTTAAGAATTAAGAGTGCCGCTGTTGCACGGTAAAAAACCAGAGCCGTTTGCAGAAGGACTAAAATGCAAATACTTCTAATTATTAATTTATTTATTTTTTGTTGTAGTTTAACATTTCCACACGACCACACGTAGTGTTTGTAGTGGTCCATTTAGCAGAATGTACGGTACACTTCAAATTATTCGAGGTACAGTAGAAGGACCCTAATTTTAAAGGTTAGAAGAAAAAAAGTACGAGCTTGTTTTGTTTTTCGCTCTAAGTTTTCTTTATGTGTTACGAATTGAAATATTGAAGGGTGATTTAGAAAACAATAAATAATAAAAATCAAGAGTTAAATTTGAATGTGATAAAAATTGGTTCTTAATATGTAAGAATAAAATTTGAGTGACTAATTGTTGAAGTCTCACACCGATAAATAAAAAAGTACTCCGTAATAAAGTGTTACGAAGTATATATTAGGATCATGGGCTACTCCCCTATAATTAACCTTTTAGAATGGAAACACAGATCTTAACATAGTATCAGAGACAAAATGATCCACAAGTGACAATGATAAATTGACGGAAAAAATGAATGGCGCTATGATCTAGACGAATTGTATGGTCATGAATCATGATGAGGTGCGTTGAAGTCACGGTAAATTAAGAAATAACATAATGTTATACTAAGATCTTGGGGCCTACTCCCTATCGGGTTCACCTTTCAAGCTGGAACCCTAAAGATATTTTTACTTGGATTGTTTTCAATCCCAAACTAGACTTAGACAATTATAAAATACACAGAGACTTGACATTTACTAAACTTGATCACATCAATTCAAACCTGATCAGACAGTTCAGAAAATTTCAGTCCAGGTAAAAACATCCTAAATTGTACTCCCTAGCTTTGTGCCACTAAGATTGTCTCATTTTACCTTTTTGGAAAATCTCATTAAGATTGTCTCATACCAAATTTGATAAAGTTTGTGACTTGTGTGGTTCTAAATCATTTTCACTCTATTGTAATTTTATCAATTCAATATTAATCACATACTCATTTTTCTTAATAATTCTGACATATTCTCTGGTTCCAATGTCGGTGGGATGAGGTACTACTGCACGAGAAGTTTAAATGAGTATTCTCCATAGTCTATAGTCCCATATACTGAATAAAAAACAATACTACGTACTAGTATTATATTGAGTAACAAGTAGTAACCAATCAAACCAATACACAAATACACATGACAATACTTCAATCTTGAAAGTTGCATAGATCGATTAAGAAGACTACATGTACTAATTTATACTCCGGATGTAAATATATAAATTCTTGGATGGATAAATCTACTTGATAGTCAAACTCACTCATTTATTATGTTCCTCGATCTGGATACTTGACATTCTAGTTCATTTAGAGCATCTTCAATGGTACAATGTGCACGGTGCACACGTGGCATGAGAGATGACCACATAAATATTAGTATATAAATTATTTCTCTCCTTATTTAAATGATTTTATACAGTTTTGGTAAGTTTTTGTCCACAATGTCAAGGAGACCGTCTAATGTTGACATTGATGTTGACATTGCAGGGAAAAACTTACCAAAATTGTATAAAATCATTCAAATAAGGAGAGAAATAATTTATTTGCTAATACTTATGTGGCTATCACTCATGCCACATGTGCACCGTGGACATTATAGCATTGGAGATGCTCTTATTATCCAACGGCAATACTTCAGTAACTTTACGGTAGTACTCTGTTTGGAGCTTCACTAATTCACGGCCATAATTGCTAAAATCCTCCCTGCCGGAATATTTTTCAACTAATTCTCGAAGGTCATCTATAAAATTCTCTGAAAGGGCGGACAGTTGTACTTCGATGAGAGATTTAGGCTTGGGACTTCTCCAGATTTTGACCAGCAGTCGGCCCAATGATAACAAAAATAATACGAAATTAAGCACCGTAAAAAAACCAGCCATTGCAAGATGAATGAGGAGTCCTGACCGGCCGGTGGAAGATAGAAACGGCGGCGGCGAAGAATTGATCGAGCTCCGGCCTAATCGAATGTTTCAAATATGATTGAATATGTATCATGTGTGTACCTATATACATATTGAGAACATCGATCATGGGCCAAAACACGCGCATTTTTCTAGGGTTTCCGGCTGGGGCTAGCTAGGGTTTGGGTTAATTCATAAAAAAATCTCCGGTTGGAATTGGGAAATCCAACTAGAGATAAGTTTTTTTTAAAAAAAATTCGGATTAAATTAAACCCTGTTGGAAGTGACCAATCCGGCCAGATGTTTATTTTAATAATTCCAGTGCGAATAAAATTTCGAAAACATAATTATTTATTTTAGATTTTTAAATAATTGCTCGAAATTTTCATTTTTTTAATAATCCTAAAACCATTTTATTCAAATTATTCCAATCATAATTCCGAACACATCTATTTTTTTTATCAAAATCAAAGTAAATTTTGAATTTGTTTAAAACACAATCATTCTACTTAGATCTTGGGAACTACTCCTACCGAGTTAACCTTTTAAATTGAAACCTTAAATTATATTCTCTATGTCACGCTAAGATTGTCTCATTTAACCTTTTTGAGAAATTTCTGTAAGATTGTATCATACCAAATTTGGTAAAATTAAATTTGTGACTTGTCCAGTTCTAAATCATTTTTACTTTATTTTTACTTTATCAATTCAATACAACTATATAAACTCATTTTTCTTAATAACTGTGTCATCTCATCTTCTTTCAATGTTAGTGGGACGGATGTAGTACTAAGTAAGAGATTAAATGAGTATTCTCCATACTAAATAAAAAATAATACTCCACTGCGTACTAGTATTGAGTTACATTGTAACGAGTAGTAACCAATCAATTCAAAGTTTCAAACCAATACACACATACACATGATAATACCTTCATCTTGAAAGTTGCATAGATTTAGAAGACTACAAATACTTGGGCGTATAAATCTAACGCATGAAGCTCTTGATAGTCAAACTCACTCATGCATTATGTTCCTCGATCTGGATACTTGGATGGATAAATACTCTTAGGTTTATACGATAGTATATTAGGTGTACGTGTTATTGACCTTGTAATTCAATTCAGTTCCTAGGAGAATCGATCTCTAGATCTTCCTCTCCGAAGAGAGCCTTCTCCAACGGCAATACTTTACGATAGTACTCTGTTTGGAGCTTTACTAATTCACGAACACAATTGGGATTATCCTCCAATTGATTTTTTTTTACCTAAATCTTGAAGGACTCTTCTAAACTCCTGTGAGAGGGCTGCCAATTCTGCTTCAATGGGAGATTTAGGCTTGCGACTTCTCCAGAGATGCATGACCAGCCTTTGGCACCATCCTAACAAAAATCCGATAGCAAATACCTTGAAACGGGCATCCATTGCAACAGATTATTGTTACCTTATCAAAGTTTCGATATATCTCATTTCAGTATACCAAAGCTTCGATATGATAAAAGTGTGGTATTGGTAAATTATTATAATTTAATATGATAGTATAACAAATTAATATATGCCAAATGAAATAAATAAAATGAGTTTGAGTAGTGATATACTAAAATCATTAATGAAATTAATTATAAAATGCTAATGATAAACTCATTGATGTTCAAAATATGTTTAGACATTTCAACACTTCATATATGAAGATAACAACACATTCTTCTAATATAATTTAAGCTATTAAGCAACATAGATATATACAAAATGACACTGATCTCCAACAAAAAGTTTAAATAATACAAGAAACATGGATATAAAGTCATTTATCCTTGATTTGTTATTGTGTTTCTAGTCATTTTATAATTTTAAATAAATTATTAATTAGCTTGGACTTTCGGTATGACAGTATATTGATGTACCGTTTATTTTCAAAATATATATTGATATCGTACCGAACGGTATACCAAACATTTCGGTAAATTCAGTATTTTTCAATATGGTAAGTGGGGTATACCGAAATTTCGGTATTATTCTCTACCCCTATCTCAAATAGTCATTTTAATTTATTTATTGCATATTTTGACATTTAGTGACCTGGCAAATCGTGTCAAAAATATGGCATGATGGTTTGTTATATGGGCATTTTAGAACTTGGTTGTGTTAGTCGATCCTATGAGTGGAAATTTATTAAGGATGTTTTAACTTGGACTGTAATTTGCTAGTCTGGTCTAGTCTGGTTTGGTCTGATTTCTTTGTATTTTTATAACTATCCTAGTCTGGTGTGGTCTGAGCTGAGACAAATTACGGTCCAAGTAAAAACATTCTAAGTTGGACGCAGAATTATTCAACAAAAGATCCTAAAGAATCTTTTTCTCAAGATTACTTTGATCTAAAAATAGAGTCTTAAACTTTTTGTAAAGTTAGGATGTTTTTACTTGGACTGTAATTTGCTGGTTTGGTCTAATATGGTCTGGTCTGGTTTCTTTGTATTTTTATAACTATATAAGTTTGGTCTGGTCTGATCAGGGACAAATTACAGTCCAAGTAAAAACATCCAGCGAAAATATGAAAGTAGGATTCAAAGTACTCGAAAAATAAAAAGCCAAATGGAGTTTGGAACTTTGGATGCTAGGATAAATTATATCAAAACCCGCCAACGCTCTGAAACCTCGGGTCCGACCAATCCTCCGTTCATCTGACTAAACGTCTAAACTAGACCTGTACAAAAACGGGCTCGGGCCGGACTTTTTATAAATTTTCTGCTCATCATGTGTGGGCAGGCCCGGCCCGGCCCGGCCCGGTCCCCCAAAAACGGGCCTAACCCCATGTCCATACCCGCCCGTTAGAGCGGGCCGGGTAGTCGACCAGGGCGCCCGGCCCGGGAAAACTTTAATTTTTTAAAAATTGTATAATTTTTTAATACTTTATAAATAGTATTACACCATTTAAAAAATTGCTAATACGCTTATAATGTTTTTAGGCCTGTCACCACGTACACAAAAAATATAATGAGAAGCTAAAATTTAAAATTCAAGCACACAAAGTATTATCTATAAGTACTAAAATATACTACATACTAGTATATTAATTATATTGGATATTATATTGGTTGGACTAGTTGTTAAAAACTAAAAACTTAAATTTAAACATAATTAACTATAAATATGTATAAAGATACTTGCACAAAAAATATAATGAGAAACCATAGCTAAAATTTAAAAATTCAAGCACAAAGTACCATCTTTAAGTACAAAAGTAGATATTATCTTGGCTGGGCTAGTTGTTAAGAACTAAAAACTTAAGAAAATGAGTTAGTCCAGTGGTGTTGAGCATATGTTGACTATGTTAAATTTAAATATAATTAACTATAAATATGTATAAAGATAAATTAATAAATATACATATACATGTGTACATGTAAACAAATAAACAAACAAATTAGTATATATATATATATTAAAAAAATGTATATATACTAAATGTAGCGGGTCGGGCTATCGGCCCGAATGGGCCTACACCCTGACCCAAGCCCGCCCATATGTTATTGCGGGCCGGCCCCGGCCCGGTGGGCAAATATATATGCCCAAGCCCGCCTATTTGTGCGGGCGGGCTGGGCAGGCCGGGCAGGCCGGCCCGGTTTTGTACAGGTCTAGTCTAAACAATAAACATCATAATGACATATTACTGTACGTATTAACTACTACGTATTACATTAACGATGTTGATCGTTGTTGTTCTAGGCTAACATGTCTGTCTCTGGCTAAGTGGCCACTCGAGCTCCCTTCTTGTTGGGTTGGTATAGACGGTCTCCTTGTCATGCAAGTGGTTGGTTCCCTACTGGCAGTGCCGATCCTACATAAATTCGGGCCTGAGTCAAGCTTTCATAAAAGGGCCCTATAAATAGTACTCCGTATTTGTTTTGTAATACAACATATTTAGAAATAGAGGATTAATATCTCAAAAACTCAATACTTAAATAAAAATTTTTTCGTTATAACATAAAAAAAATATCACAATTTTGATTAATTTTGGATTGAAAATTACACAATTTTTATTATGATAATCTTAAATAAAAATAGATCTAAATTCTCAAATATAAAATTTCACTTGCAAGGCACGAGCCTGCTTGACTACTTTGTAAAACAAGTAAGAATTATCTTGCTTTTAATTTTTAAATAGCATTTCTTTATGGAGACACTTCAAATCCCAACCAATAATATAAGATTTAGTCAATAGTTATAACAAATACAAAATAGAAGTTAATAAGTTACTACCTCCGTCCCATTTATATTGGGACGGAAGAGGGTGACACGGTTATTAAGAAAAGTGGGTTTGTGTGGTTGATATTAATTAAATGATAAAGTAAGAATAAAGTAGGAATGATTTAGAGTCACACAAATTTTGCCAAATATGATATGAGACAATTTAAGTGGGACTTCCCGAAAAGGTAAATCGGGACAACATAAATGAGACGGAGGGAGTAGTTCATTTAGGTATTCACAAATCAATAATTCATCAAATTAGCAAATCATTCTAAAAGCTATATTTTTGGAAATAATAACATATCACTAAATTTGGGACTTCATGTTTGTACTTCACTACTTGGTTGATAACTCTATTATCCCGCATGTTTTTTACTTCTGTATCGGACGATTTAAACTACACAACCAGTGTAACTTTTGTTTCTTAACACATATATACGGAGTATAATACTACGTATAAGTGTATTTAAATTTCTGGGCCCCTATTTTTTAATTTTTTTTAGGGCTCTGAGGCCCAAGCCTCACTGACCTAATTAAGGGAAGGACCGACCCTGCCTACTGGGTTCGTAGGTCGATGCTCAGCTGGATTGGTAGGTCGTCTCTTAGTCGAGCTGTTAGGTCAGCTACCAACTGGGTTAGTAGGTCGGTCGGGCTAGCTGGCCGACCATTTTACACCCCTCGTTGTTGGACTTGCTTTCCTTGATGGGTTTGTTGGTTGGGACGATTCAAGCTCCTTACCTGTCTAAGTCGTGGGCTCGCTAGTCTAGGTCGTGAACCACTACCGTACCTGTGCGTACATGTCCTGAGCTGGACTTTGTCAGGCTTTGATTCT